CCCCCCCGCCGTCCCTTCCCCCCCCCCCCCCCTCCGCATCGGTGAACTTTTCATCTTCCAATCGCTAACACATTTCCTACAACCGAAAACAATCAAAAGAAATGATATACCGAAAATAGTAAAAAACAATACCGAAACAACCGAAAATAACTAAAAAAAATGATATAACGAAAAAAAAAAAAAACAAGAAAGAAACAACACAAGAAACTCACCTTGCAAGCTTCTCGAGACGCTGTGCGGAGATCTCCATTTTCCTCTTTCCCTTCTCCCCTGCAAGCCCCAAAGGCCTTTTCTTCGCCTTTCTCTGTTTCTTCCCGTCGGCGAAGGCTACCGAGCCATTTTTCCCCCCTTCCCCTTCCGTCGCCATGGCCACTGCAACATCCGATTTTGAGCTCTCGCCCACGAACGGTGCCAGTTCATCAACAGTTGTGATGTTCATCATCGCAGGAGCGTCTCCTCCCGCACTCCTCGTTCTCCTAGCCTCACCTTTCGAGACATCCACGTCGTCCTCCACACAGATCACCAATTGGGAGGAAGTCCTCGCGCTCTCAACACTCGCAGTGGCAGGTGGTGGTGCCACAGGCGCTATCGTTCTTAAAACAGCTCCTCCGCCGCCTCCTCCGCCGCCTCCTCCGCCGCCTCCGCCTGCTCCTGCGAGTGCTGCGGTTGATGCTGATGCTGATGCTGGTGCGACAACTGCAGCCGGCGCCGCCGCCGCCGGTGTTGCTGTGGTTGCAACTGCTCCTGCTGCTGCTGCTGCGCTTGGGACGGCTACCTCTTCCACCTCCATCGGGACAGCCGCTGCTGATCCTTCCGCCGCCATTTGGCCCCCCCCGCCGTCATCAGCCGGTGAACTAGCCGAAGCCGCGCACATTGGATTCTGCCTTTCCCCCTCTCCGGAGGTCGATCCCGGGACAGGGCCAGGGTGGGCGGGAACATCCACGTCATTCGTCATTTTCGGTGGTGAAGAAGGCGGCGTGACTCCACCTCCTGCTTCTCCGTCTCCCCTCCCCACCTCTGGACTTGCCATCGCACTTACCCCTGGTATATCCTTCGCCAAAACTATACAATCTTCGTCGACCTCACCCGCATCCCCTCTTTCCGTTCCATCAGCATTTCCCAGTCCACCTCCCTCCCTCCTCCTCTCCCCCCCTCCATTTCTCCCCCCCCCCCTGCCGGCTCGATAACCCTCTGCTTCACCATCGTCGGCATCTCCAACATCCCCCCGGTCGTCGTTATCCCCTGCCGTTCTTTCCCCATCGCCATGGTCCTCGTTCCTGCCATCGCCGTGACTTCCTCCTCCTCCTCCCTCTCCTCCTCCTCCTCCTCCTCCTCCTCCTCCTCCTCCCCCCCCTCCTCCCCCTCCTCCCCCTGCTGCTGCTACTAGCACAGGTGCTCCGCTTATCTCCGCCCTCCCTGCCGATATCAACATGCCACGTGGCGACCTCTCCCCCCGTGACGCGGACGCATCCCCACGAGCGCGCGACGCGTCGTCGATGCCCATCATACTCACTATCCCCCCTCTCTCATCTCGATCCACCTCCCCATCGCCATCCCCATTCGCCCATTCGGTAGGACTCCTCTCTCTCTGCCTTCTTGCGCCTCGTTCAACGTCGTCTTCCTCGTCGTCATCAACCTCCATTCGGCTTCCCTGGTTAACTTCCCGGTGCTCATCCATCGCTTCTCCTTCATCTTCATCCTCATCGTCCGGTGGCACAACAACCACCTCACGATTAGGACTTCCTGCAGGTTCGCCCTGGCCTGCGTTGTCCTCTTCGTCATCCTCCTCTTCTTCTTCCACCTCCCCCTTCTCCTCCTCCATATCCCCGGCATCGTCGTCATCATCCTCTACAATCTCCTCTACTGACGGCCATCTCTGACGACGGGGAAGGACCACGTTCGAAGAACCATCCCGTCCTTCGTCTTCTTCGTCCCCTGTGCCCTCTTCATCCTCCTCCTCCTCATCGTCATCCTCACACTCGCCATGTCCGTCATTGTCATTATCATCGCCGTCATCACCGTCATCACCGTCATCGCGGCCATCGCCAGCACCTTCCTGGGCCTCCTCACTATCGTCCTCCTGGCTGTCCGCCGGATAGTCATCCTCGGAGGAGTCCCTGCTACGCTGATCTGCGCCGCCATCGCCAGCATGTCGATGATCTTCTCCCTCTTCATCCCTCGACCCATCGTACCTATTGCTTCCATAAGCGGCCTCGTATAGAAACGATATACTATCTGCCAACTGGCCGGCTACAGACTCAGGATTTCCCCTTGACCTTGGAACCATTGCCTCTCCTCCACCTCCTCCTCCTCCTCCTCGTCCTCCTCCTCGTCCTCCTCCTCCTACATTTTCACGCTGGGCGTCGCCCAAACATCCATGCCGACGACTACACGTTTTTGAAACTTCTCTCTGTTCATCTACTTTCCTGCCATCACTCTCGCTCCGCAACAGCTTCCTCTGCTCACTCAGCCGCCCTGTCCGTCCAGGTTCAGGCCGTTCAACCGTTAAGCAAGCCCCATTGGCCCCCCCCCCATATCCACTTTTTCTTCCAAGTCCCATCACGATATCATGGGAAGAACGCACGCGATTCGATCTATGGGTAATGGCAGCGCCCCCCTTCATCTGTTCCACAGACTTCGTCTCCTCCTTGTTCCTTGTCCCGATACCTTTCTCAGCATGCCAAGATAATATGGACGTGGATGCTATGCATGCTTGCCCACATTGCGTAAGTGTCATGAGCGTAGGATTCTTTACTACTGCAGACGAAGTTTTTCGATCAACGACGGGTTCCAGCGAAACTCTCAAGAACGGCCGCGTTTGCCGCCGCCTTCCTCTATTACTGCCATCCTCCTTCCCCCTCTCTCCTTCCCACTCCTTCTCCTCCTTTGCCTCCCCCTCCCGCACCGCCTCCTCCGCCGCCGTCGCCGTCGGCAGTACCCCTTCCTCGTTAACGGGCGGGCTTTTCACAGCCCCTGCTATGGGACGACGACAAGGCGTCCCTCCTTGTTCCTCTGCCCTAGCTGTTCTTGTTCTTGTTGCTTGTACTTCTGCCCATCCTTCCCCCACCTTCTTCCGTCCTGAGTGCCCACAAGCAAAGCAATCATACCGAATCGCGGCGATTCCCTCGGGCGCTATCTCACCTCCTTCCCGCCAAATCTCTCCTCTTCCACAATCTGCAATCACCACCTCATCCGTCTTCTTCGTCCACTCAATGACCTTCATCCCCCCAACCGTCTTCCCGCGTCCGCTCAGACACAGATTATCCCCATCATGGTGATTACCCTTTCCATTTTCAGATTGGACAAGATCCAAGGCAGCAACAAATCCCCGAATCTTCTCCATAACTTCCCCTTCATCCCCCCCACCATCATCATCATCATACCCTCGTACCCTAGTCCGTCTCTGTCCCATTCCTCTGCGTCGAGAGCTGCATCTCCGCTTACCTAGCGGTCGCCGACCAGATTTACCCCCACGTGGCCGCTCCTGCAAGATCCTCACACTGCAGCTTACGTTTGGCACGAGCAGAGATTTACACCAGCCACACCGTCCCGACTGCACGATCCATGGCTGTCCCCCCCCCACCCCCCTTCCTCGCTTTCCCTGGGCACCCTGTCCCAGGTCAAGCTCGTCTACTCGTTGAGCTTCCTCCTGAGCCGCCGCCTTCAACGGAAGCGACAGAACCGCCGTCTCTCTCCTCTTTGAGACGTCGACGGTAGCTACCTCCTCTCCTTCCTTCACCCGTCCATCTAAACGGTCACCACCAAGCCGATCGTACACGTGGCATATCCACCCTTCTTCCTTCTGTCCCTCATTCACCAAGTAATCACCAGAACAATCACGAGGATGCGACGATAACTGGGGAGGACAAATTGCCGCCATAGCCCCGGATCGGTGACCACGGATACCCTTTCCCTCTTTGGCTTCAATTAACAGGCATTAAACCCCGCCTCCTCTTTGTGACAGGCTTGGCTTACGTCATCGAAAGGGCAGAGATTGATCATCCACGTCATCCTGGCCTCACCTATTTCGAGAAGCAAGCTGATTGATTTCGATTTTGACACAGCGGAGCTTATATATTCTTCCTCGCGCACGATGCAGCTGCGCCTTCGCTCCGCCGTCGCAATAGCGGGGACCCTGCCAAGCACACATCAACGAATCTGGATCCATAAGAAACTACCGGTAGTCGCATCGCAGCCAAGGCGCATTCACTCCAAGTCTGACAAACGGAGAAAAGGAAACAGTGACGACCGGTCGGCAGATTCTCTCTCTCTCTCTCTCTCTCTCTCTCTCTCTCTCTCTCTCTCTCTCTCTCTCTCTCTCTCTCTCTCTCACACACACACA